GCATTAGGTTGTGCATATAATCCATAAAAAAGAAAAATAAATAAATAAAAGTGGAACCTTTTGCATTTATTTTTCTATGGATTGTCTTAAAAGAGTAACTCAGATCTTAAGACTTGGGGTTTTTATAAAATACAAAAGGTTATGAACAGTTAATATATTGCATGTTGTATATAACTCATTAAACAGTGTTACTTTGGACATGAGCTTATTTTTTAACTGGATTAATGAGCTAATGGCTAGTCTGAGCATGGTCAAGACCAAAGTGGATTCCAGTAATCTTAAAAACACTTCAGTCACCAAAGTGTTGTTGTTTCATAAACTTTAACCTGCAAATCGCTTTGGATTATTTGGTCATTTACATAAGTTCTTATAGTTATTTACAATTGCAAATAGAAGCAGCTGACTGTGGCACGTCAGGTGCAGCCTGGTGCACTTCCAATAGGAAAATTATAATTTATCAATCAAAATGGCAGTGTAATAAAAATGACAATTATATAAAGATTTATAAACTACCACATAAATTGTCATTTAATTTGTAAGARTAAATATGTGACCAATCCTTTTTGTTCTTGTTCTTGGCCCTCTAAAAAGTCAGTTTTATACTTAATTTCTCCAAATCTTGGTCATAGAAAGAGCCGTGCATATTTAAAATTTTATTGTCCCAAACCTTTTTATATAATCCATCTTCAAAAGATAAGAACTGCTTTAATAAAAGTAATTTGGCTTTTTTTGTATTTGAGTGTTGCTTTTTTTGTTAAAAATTAGGATCTAAAATGACATAACAAATGACTTAACCTTGCTCTTGTGTTCTTTTTCAGGTCTAGTAGTAAGAGAGGCCAGTATAGAAATAACTCGGCAGCAGGTGGAAGAGTTGTTTGGTCCTGAAGATTACTGGTGTCAGTGCGTGGCATGGAGCTCTGCCGGAACCACAAAAAGCCGCAAGGCACACGTCCGCATTGCATGTGAGTACAAACGTGGGCATGCAAAAAACTAAAATGGAAGACAAGTGTCTGCACGTGAGAGAACACTTGGTAGACACACATTTGTGATTTGATACATATGTACATACGATATACTCACAAATCCTTAACACATTTCTACTCCTGTAATAAAAATAAATTTCACAAACAGATACAGTCATCATCTCCCCTCTGCTGGGTCCAATCTCAGGGAATGAGTGTTGTGTGACAGACAGAAGACTAGCAGATGGAGAAAGCCGACTAAGAAAAATGATGAACTCATGAGATGCAAATAGGCTAGGCAGTGATGTGTGTGAATTATTACGACACTCAATCATTTCAACACAAGCACATGGGTGTGTGTGTGTGTGTGTGTGTGCACGCGCGTGTATCTGTGTGTGTGTGGCACATTTTGTCTATTGTACTTACACAATGCTCACTTATCTGCAAACACACATTGTGACTGAGAACCTGTTGACAATAAGGTCTACACATAAATAAGGTAAACAGATTAGTTCATCAGTGTTAGTTGTCACCTACTTTGTTCAGGTTAGCAGGCTTTTATTAAAACACACACACACACACACACACACACACACACACACACACACATACTTGTTTTTATTACCTCGTGGGAACCACTGACATACTCATGCCTTATGGGATCCTCTATTTCTAAATGGTTTAAAAATCTGATTTTAATTGATAAATTCATTTTAAAAAATTAATAAAAAAAACCATGAGTTAAAACTTTGAAAACACTCATTTTGATTTTTGACCTGACATTTTGCTACCTCTTGGGGACCACCCATGTCAAAATTAGCACCATACATGGCCAATGAAAAAAAAACAAACAAACATTAGGC